AACCCTACCCTACCTATACCTATGGTCCGTGCGACCCTACCCTACCTATACCTACGTCCGTGCGACCTATACCCTACCTATACCCTACCCTAGGTACATGGTACCCATCCGCCAGTCTAAACACAAGTTACTGCAACTACAACTAACGTACTCCACAAGCGAGCTGGCCACCCAAGCGAGCTGGCCACTTTTGCCAAGACCACACCAATACTGCACCTACTTTGCAACATTACAGCACACAACTATAATATATTATACTACACAGTATACTAAACTAGTCTGTAGTACTCTGTGTATCTTTACTGCATGTTCGCGCGTTGTGCCCTGTCTTGCTACATGTGCCACAGCGCCTTAGAGACTGAGTGCTCCTATCAACACGCGACCTCTTCTTTGCCTTCTTCCCATCACTATGGGCCTCAAACTCCTTTAGAGTAGTTAGCCGCACTCCCTTAGCAAAGACTAGAGTCCCCTCTCGCTGTAATCGCTTCCTTTTGTGTGATTTACGACGTGTGGCAGCCTCGTTGGCTGCCTGTAGGTCAGCAACCTGGTTACGCACTAAAACCAGTGAATGCGCCATCAGCTCTGCGCCTTTAGTGAGCTGATTAAGAGCGTTAACCATAGACGTTGGCGAGCTATTAGCGTGTCTCTGAATCCTCTCTTGAATCAGCTTTAATTAAGACCTAAATTCTAGGGTGTTGCTTAGTGTTTTAGACTCCCACGTACTGTTGTCCACAGTAGGTGGCGTTAGCGTGCGCAGCCGTACTTTAAGCTTCAATAGCACAGCCTCTAGGTCAAGTGGGACTAGGCCAGCACCTCTGAATCCCCCCTGGATGTTGCTCTCTGTGATTAAGGCGTCAAAAGCCGCTTTGAAGCACGGCAAGAACTCAAGTTTGGTGATGCGAGTAATCTTGCTGCGCATCAGCCGCTCGGCTTGGCGGCTATAGGCCTTCTTCAACAGGGCAAAACAGCCTACGTCAAGTGGCTGCAGTAGGTGCGACGAGTGTGGAGGCATACACAGGGTAATAATCTTGTGTTCCTCGCAGTACTGGTGGAATTTGACTGAGTTGTGGCTCTCGTGGCCGTCCAGAATAAGCAGCCGATGGCTGCTAACAGTGCGCGCCTTTGTGTGCTCATCAAAGTGCTTCAACCACTTAACTCTAAGCTTGTTGTTAGTCTAGCCGTTGTTAGAGACATTAAGAACCTAGTTGTTAGGTATACTAGGCTCCTTGTACTAGGCAGAGAGGTGGTGCTTGCTAGAGAAGATAATAAAGGGTGGGATAGACCAGCCCTTCGCGCAGATGCCTTGGATAATACTGGTCCACTCTTAGTCGCCCTGCTGCACTGCCTTTAGTCTCCCTCAACGCTCAGAGCCTGTGACAACAGCTCCTGTTAATATAACACCTATTATAAAGCTAGACTTGTCAAAGTTGTGGGTGTCTTTATCTTGTATACTATACTTAGCTTTAGTATTCTCTACTAGTCAGAACTAGTCCCTAATTACCTTAGGATCCTCACACAGAGCTCTCTTATAGTCATACTTGCAATTAAATTTGACTTTAAGCTCTGGCTGACGTTTTACAAAGTTGGCAGCCCAGTTCTTGCCAACGTAGGGCTGGTGGCGCTCAGCAAGCAGAGAATTGGCCATATCCTCCACATCAGCAAGCCAGGGTGGGTATCCTCGCTCGTCTAGCTTCAATACATGCTGGACAATCACCTCCTCCTTAGTACTAGTCATCCTTATCATGTTGGGCTTGCAATCGCGTCGTGAAGAGGTTCCAGTAAGGCGTGTGCCTAGGGTGCTTCAAGAGACCTGGTATATTGCTGCAGCACGTCGCACGCTTAGTGTCGCGTCTTGCTGGATAGCCTGGAGGGCAAGCTGTATATGTGTTTCATTTAAAGGCTTTTTTACGTTGTTGCGTTGAGGCATTACAGGGAGAGTGAAGTTCGGTGTGGTCTTGGCAAAAGTGGCCAGCTCGCTTGGGTGGCCAGCTCGCTTGTGGAGTACGTTACTTGCTATTAAACAGTGACCTAGCATACTGCGTGCTTGCATTAGATTTAGAAGATGTTTCTACACCCTCCTAGCACGTTTATGTGTTATGTCTAGTCTTGCTACAGTTCCTACAGCGCTAAACAGTTAACTAAGCTCCTAGTTAACCACCTCTACCCTAAGTCTTCTTAGATAGCTGAGCTGCTACAGACGCCTTAGCAGCTACCCGCAATGCTGCTGGGCCATACTTAAGTGTGCCACTATACTAAATCTGCTTTCTCTTACGCGATTTTCTCTTAGTTATTACTGCTAATTGCTCTTTAAGCTCTTGCACGTGGGCCTTAATAAGGATGTTTTTATGCAGTATCTCTTTAGCCCCTTTTATAAGCTTTAAGAACCCCTCTTATACTGTACTTAGTAATTATTAGAAGGAGTTGCTTATAAGCTTAGATTAAGACCTAAACTTGTGTGTATTGCTTAGCGTCTTAGATTACTACAGCGTTTTAGGTAGAGGTACTCCTAGTAGGGTATATAGCTACACTTTAAGGTAATCTAACACTACCTATATATTAGTAGGAATAAGCCCTAATACCTTAAAGGCCTTTTAGTAGTTAACCTTTATAAATATATTAAGGAATATATCCCTAAAGGCTAGTAGGAAGCCTTCCTTATTAATATAGAAGATGTGTTAGTATACTAAGTCTTAAATATATTAGGAGTACTTATACTTTAATAGCAAGAAATAGACTATGTTAAGTAGCTAGAGGATGTATAATAAGGAAGGTAGTATATAGAGAGTAAGGATTTAGTTCTCTAGGTAATAGTCCTTAAACTCCTAGTTAAGATAGCTCCTATAGCTGTCTAAGATAAGTAACCTATATACTCCTACCTAATATGTCTTTGTATACGTGTTAAAGTGCTTTAACTACTTAAGGCTAAGTATATTATTTATCTAACTATTCTTAGAGACTAAGAGCTTCTAATTATAGGGTATATCTGTCTCCTTATACTAAGCAGAGATGTAGACGCGTCCTTTGTAGATAATAAAAGGTAGGGTTGCATACCTAGCAGCGCAGATGCTCTAGATAACAGTAACCTACTCGCGATTGCCTGGCTGAATAAGCTCTAGCTAAGAACGTCTCTCTAAGCCTGTTACAACCTTTAAAGACAAAGTAACACCTATCTAGAACCTAGTTTTATTAAAGTTGTGCATGTTATTATTGCAAACACTATACTTAACTTTAGTATCCTCTACTAGCTTAAACTATGTGCTAATTATCTTTAGATCTTCCTGTAGTATCCTCTGTCTATCCTTAGCTTAATTAAAGGCTATTTTAAGCTTGTCTAAATGTGTTACAAGCCTGCTAGCCTATAGTTTGCTAACAAGCTCTTCACTAAGCACACTAAGTATCTTATTAGCCATATCTGCCACCTCACATAGCTAGGGCGCAAATCCTTGCGAATTAAGGTCAAGTATAACGTGTTTCACAAGCGAGCGCCGCACCCAACTGAGCGCCGCACTTTCAACAACAGAAGGCCTGCGCAGCGCTATATCACAACACAACATAAATAAATAATTATTTGCAGGCCTAGATAGTATTATTTAGAAGCTTTACTATTATCTATATCCTCTATTTCTACCTTACAAGTATAGGAATTGTGTCTAATCTTACTATAATACCTATAGTGTTGTCTAACACGCACCCTCTTTATAGGTGTCTTACCCTTACTATAACCCCTACCCTTCTTTTTAGTAATTAAGTTAGCTACTTTACTAACTATAAGGGTCTCCTCTATGTGTATATATTATTACTTATAGGTCTTATACTTTATAGACACTTCTATAGCGTCTTAAAGGTAGCCTATTTCCTCCTGCATTAATACTATATTATAAGCTATCTGCTAAGCGCCCTTTGCTAACTATTTAACCTACTTATCTAATAAACTTGCTAGAGACCCTTAATAGATTTAAATCTACTTTTAAATTAGAGTTTACTGCTCCTCTACTTTGTAAGCAGTGCGTGGGGTCTTTAGCTCCTAGGCAATATTGCTAGGTTTTAGTGGCGTTGGCGTGCGTAGGCGCACATTAAGCTTTAATAACACCACCTCTAGGTTGTGTAGGACTAGCCTAGCACCTCTAAAGCCTGCGTGAATATTCTCTCTAGTAAACGCCTTACTAAACGCTAATTTAAAGGCTAGCAGGAAGGTTTCCTTATTAATATAGTAGATGCGACTGCGTGCTAAGGCCAAAACCTTGTCGCTATACAGGCGCTTTAGTGGCAAGAAGCAGGTGACGTCAAGTGGCTGCAACAGGTGCGATAAGTGCAGGGGCATACAGAGAGTGATTATCTTCTTCTCTCTGCAGAGATCTTAGAAAGCCACTAAGTAGTGGCTCTTATAGCTGTTAATAATAAGTAGCTGGTAGACGCTAACTAGCTTTGCATGTGTATTAAAGTAGTAGAGCTAGGCAAGCGCTAGATTATTATTAGTCTAGCTAGTAGGACTAATATTAATAACCTAGTCCTGTAGGAGGTCCTTAGTAAACTAGTTAGAGATAAGAACCTTGCCTGCAAAGATAAGGAATAGTAGGATAACCTTCCCTATTAACCTAACTCCTTATACTAGGGTGACCTACTTATAATTACTATGTTAGATCTTCTTCTGCTTCCTAGGCTTCTCTAAGCCTATTACTACTAGCTATAATAAGATCTTGCCTATTAGGAAGCTAGACTTATTAAAGTTGTACATATCCTTGTCTATAATACTATACTTCGCCTTTATAGACTAAACAAGCGTGAACTAGGGCTAGATAACTGCTGGGTCCTCGCAGGCAGCCCACTGGCGATTGTATGGGTGGGTCTACCGCTTCTGGAGCTCTAGTGTACGCTTTACTAAGTTGTCAACCTAGTTCTTGCCAACAGGCTTTGCGCTGCGCTCTCTTAGCAGTTTATCTGCTATATCTTGTACGTCTGCCTTTAAGGAGGGTAGGCCACACGCAGACTCCTTAAGTATACGTAGTATAACTGCCTCCTCTTCTAGCTTTGTAAGGCGCTTTGCATTTAGCTTGCAGTCGCGTTAAGAGCGTGTTCTGTTGCGTTAGCATTAGATTGTTTGTTTAGGCACTTTATAGACTTTCTTAGCGCGTTAGACACTTTAAATTTAGTTTCTTAGGATATTAGATATAGCAAGCTGTACATCAGCTTCAGTATAGAGTGTAGGAGCTTGTTGTGGTTGAGACATTACGCGCTGTTGTTGCGCCGGCGTTCTGGCAGCGAGAGTGCGGCGCTCGGTTGGGTGCGGCGCTCGCTTGTGAAACACGTTATACTAGACAATTGTCTGCTCCTCTAGTATAGTAAGTTTCTAGCAATTAGCGCGTACGTCTAGTTAAAACGTGATATTGCAAAGGCAATTAGAGACCCACTAATAAGGTACGTTCAACGCTCTAGCAGCACTGCAGATACTGCGAAATTAGCCAGCGTAGAAGGCCTGGATAGCAAGGATAACTCTACCTTCTCTAGTAGTATTCTGAAGTTGTTGTTGTTGAGGCATGTTGTGTTAGGGTAAAAGGTGGTCATGCCAAGAGAAAGTGGCTGGTTTGGTGATATGGCTGGCTCAGTGATAATCTACGTTATACATTATTATAACGTTGTTAAGTTAGACGTTAAATAAGGTGCGTTAGTTTGGTGGGGTGCGGCGCTCGCCCGTGTGCGGCGCTTGCCTGTGGAATACCTTACCTAAGTTACATGTTACCTTTACCCTACCTTACCTCTATCACGTGTTACCCTACCTAAACTAGATAGGTAGGTTATGCTTAGGTACCCTACCCTACCTATACCTACAAATCACATGATTATACCCTACCCAACCCTACCTTACCTATCCGCCAGTCTAGGTTAAACTATCCACTATCTATCATCTTAAGTAGAGTTACTTCAACCTAAATTAGATGCCGTGCACAAGAAGCTATTCCAAAACAGGAAGCGTAAGAAGCAACCTAACAGGAAATTAGACGTGCAACAACACCAGGAGTATCATAGAGGTGAGATAATGTGGTCTCCTCAGGCCTTCCGGGAGGCGCGCGCTCGCATGGCTGTTGCAGACCACAAGAGGCAAGAGGAGTAGCTAAAAAAGGCAGGGACGAAGGAGGAAGCTGCTGCCAGTAAATTCTACAATGAGAAGATAGCAGGAGAAAAGCGTGAGCAGCGGGCAAAGGAGAAGGCAGCAAGAGACAAGGCCAAGGCAAAGGAGCGAGCAGCCATCAATGCTCGCAAAGAGCAAAGACGCAAGGATAAGGAAGCTTGCGACGCTGCAAAAGCTCTCAAATTATCTCAAAGAGGCAATTGCACATCTTTAAAAGCTTCTACAGTCAAACAGAAGCCTGCGCGTTAAGGTGTGGGTGCCTGTAGTCATCTAAAGCCTGCAACGCCTCCTCTACCACGCCCAACTATCACCACACGCAGCGGCCGCACCGCCACTAGATGTCAGTAATTTTGTATGAGAGACTTTGTCGCATAGGTCTACTGATTAAATCACTTAAAGCTCCCACGATAATAGCTATTGTATGTGGCTCTACAGCCTCACTTTAACGGTGGCCGTACAGGCTCGGAGTGTGCATTGGTTAACTCCGTGCATTGGTTAACTCCGTGCATTGGGTGCATGGACACGGTATTTTACTGCCCCGATGTTTCACACTGTAGGCGAGTCTAGAACTTGGCGCGCTCTAGCATTCATCAAGGTAGGCAATATCTATAATGTCAGAGTTTTAATATGCGCGTCAATTTGCTCTATCGTGTGTAGAGAGGGCAGCTTATTGCAATGTTCAACAGGTAAAGATTGTGGTTAGGATGGCTGGCGTTGTCTCTCGGCTATACCGTCGGGCATACTTATACCGGTATGCAGTAGCGTGTTGCATGCTAAAATGGTGCGGCGGAGGACGAGCCGCACGACCTGTACTGCACATTTCTTGGCAATCACCTTACAAACCCGCAGCCATTCGATTATCGTATCCAAGATTTGACCTCGTGTTGTACACTTGAAAGTGACCTTGGCTCATGCATCGGGTGGCCGGGTAGCCCGTCAATCTTGGCGGCCAACCCTCCTCACACATCGTCCAAAACGAAGCCTGATTGCCAACACTGCTTGCAAACTCCTTCCTTGAGATTTCCGAACGCCACCACAGCGCAAGTCGCAGATGATCACGGAGTCACAGCATGTGGCTCGACAAGACTTGTGCAGCTTTTCGCAGCATCGACGCTGAGACGTGATACCAGAGCCAATGACTTACAGGATCTCAATCTAGATCATCTAATCTTGGTCTAGGTTTCATGGCAGTAGACTTACCGGTAGACTAAGCATTGCCAAGTCTGACAACGGCTTTACTTGAGATCCATCGTGGCATTATTGCCGTGATTAGCCACGGAGAATATCCTGTCTCCGACAACACTTCGAGCGCTACTAGATCAACCTCGAACCAATCATCTGGGAGTTAGTGTGCACGCAGCCATCCTAGCTTGGCAAACTCAATGTCTCTGATACTGAACGTGACCAGAGAGTCCTAGGCGAGTTCAAGTTGGCAGTCGATGAGCTTGGTTGTCGCTCAGAATAATTGTTGACCGAAGTCACTGACAGTACGTTGTTCCTCGCGCATCGCTGGTAAAAATGTTGGAATGATGTGCTCGGTCATGCAGGTAAGCGTCGTTCCTCGTGTACTCACCATCCAGCAACACTACCAAGCTCTGCAGAATTCTTGAGTTCGAACACTGTCCAATTAGAATGAAGAAGCAGAAGGCTTGCAGTTTACACGAGCATTCTATAATGCCAAGACGTTCACCAAGATTCCTACGATGTGTAAGCTCGTACGGCGATATCTCAATCTAATATAGATCCTGACCCTGACAGGCAACATCAATGCGGAAGATTCGTCCGAACTCGTATTGTGTAGTCGCTGTTATTGTTAGGCAGAAGCTGGGTCGTATCGACCGCTCAGTATCTTTGAACATAAAAGGTCTGGTCCATTCCTCACAATTTCAACACAGCAGCCTGCAAAGCCTTTCAATACTTCAGAAAACCAGTCACTCGTTCAGCCACTCATTACCAACACTCTTTACCAACACTCCTTTCACGATGCATTTCCCTATAATGGTCTCTGCCTTAGCTATGGCTACAGGGGTTTTAGCTGCTCCTACTCCTGCCGATCTCGAGATTCGCGATGTTGTCCCCCACGACTCTCTCAACCCAATTCCGACCCGACTCCAAGATGGAAACATTGGACGTGCCATCCAAATGTTCACCCCTTTGATCCATATCGCCCACGGCTGCCAGCCTTACACTGCAGCTGATGATGCTGGAAACACCAGGTAAGCCTGCCAGTTTGGAGGCATATTAACTTCCATCATTTGCTAATCCCACCTGAAGCGGAGGTCTGCAAGATACTGGCAACGTCAGCGCCGGATGCCGCGATCCTAACAAGGGCCAAATCTACGCTCGCGCTGCCTGGCACAAGGGCAAGTTCGCTATCATGTACTCGTACTACTTCCCTAAAGACCAGGTATGTTCGATCTTGATTCCACTCCTCGCCCTCACTAACGCTGCCAGCCCGCTGCCGGCAATGTCGTTGGAGGACACCGTCACGACTGGGAGAACGTCGTTGTCTGGATTGACGACCCTGCGAACAACAACCCTAGCATCCTTGGAGGTGCTGCGTCTGGCCATGGCGCCTACAGCACCACCACAAACCCCAACAGACTGGGCAACAACGTGAAGGTTGAGTCCTTCGTCAGTTTTCCGAGAAACCATGCGCTCCAGTTCACTGACACGACTGGGCGCTCGTACTGGATCAGCGATTGGGACCGCATGCCCGATGCTGCAAAGAGCGGTCTTACCAACGCCGACTTCGGCTCGGCAAACGTGCCCTTTAAGCCTGGTAACTTCGAGAAGAACCTTGACAACGCTTTTATTTGAACCCTTTATTATAGAACATTGTTCCTGAATTCGGTACTCGCTGCGACTTCCCTCACCGTTCTACGAGCGCTTCCATCATTCTTGATCATATATGTCCAATGAATCCGTTCATGCTTGCAATGATCAACCTTTATGCGTCGCAGATGACCGTGATCTAATATCAGAGGTCAGACTACCCTCCATTGTAGCGCCTTCGTTAGATTCTTCAGACGCAAGAACAACTTTCACATGCCCAGACCATGACTGGACGCGTAGTCGCCAACACAGTCAGAGAAGAACATTGGCGCGAAGACTGATGTCTAAACGCACTGATTGCAAAATCGACCAAGCGTTGGCGAAGTGTCACGCTCATCTTCGGCAGCTACTTCGGGCTTAGTAGGGTCGCAATCGTACGTTTACTCTGAGCCGCCACCTTAGGTAGGGTGATCCTCACGTCCCCGCAATTTGAAAGCGCCATCACAAAGGGCCTCCTCCGTCTCTTGGATTCCCGGATTCTTCCAGTACTGTGTCCGTGCACCGAACGCCCGGAGTCACCGAACGACCGCTCCAAGCCTGTACAGCCATCACAAATTTGAGGCTGTAGAGCCACATATAATAGCTATTATTACAAGATATTTTAGTAGATTTATTTATTACCCTAAGCAATAAAGTTCCCTAAATAAAGTTACTAATATTTAGTGGCAGTGCAGCTGCTGCGTGTGGTGATAGTTAGGCGTGGTATAGGAGGCGTTGCAGGCTTTAGATAACTACAGCCTACAGGCACCTACACCTTAACGCGCAGGCTTCTATTTAATTATAGTAGCTTTTAAAGTGTCACGGAGCCTGTGGGACTATACTCAGGTGATCGAAAGTATTTGATCAGTGGCTGTCTATCCTATCACGAAAGTAAGGTTTATATACATAGGAAATATGTGTGGATCACATGATCCGAGATAAGCGAGCATTTGGCCGATTATCTGGTAGCTCGTTAACAAAGAACGGATGAAACGAGCTTCTGGTTTAGACCCAGAGGTGCTCGTCCCGGTTTATCCGGGCCGGCAAGCTCCACACCCTCAATTGAGGTGCTCGATTGTGTGACATAAAGCTATATAGTTGCCTCTTTAGCATAATTCAAGAGCTTTTGCAGCGTTATAAGCCTCTTTATTCTTGCGTCTTTGCTCTTTGCGCGCATCAATGCCTGCGCGTTCCTTAGCACGCTCATGATCACGCACCTCTTTTGCCTTTGCAGCTGCTGCACGCTTTTCTTCTGCAACCTTCTTAGTCTAGAGCTTGTTAGCAGCAGGTAAGTCCTTTATCTCTGCTTTTTTTTTTAGATTATCTGCTTACGTCTCTTGTTCTATAATAGCTATACAAGCGCGCGCCTCCTAGAAGGCCTAAGGAGACCACATTATTACTCTACTATAATACTCCTAGTGCTGCTGTAAATCTATTTGCCCTACAGGCTAATTCTAACACTTCTTCTTCTAGTATAAATCTATATTTATGCTATTTAGCTGATTATTAAGTAGCGCTATCTTAGTTAAGAGATAGTGGATAGTTTGATCCAGCTTCTGCGTGCCTGCACTGCGTAAATCTTTCATCTCTACCTGAAGGGTAGTGCAAGCTTTAAGCTAGTACTCTGCAGAGTAAGCTATAGAACTAGAGGAGACTAATTCTAAGCTGTTAGGGCTTGTTTAGCAGAATCTATTAAGTATAACATTGGCATTTACAGGGGATATACTAGTAGCTTAAAACGCCTTTAGTATAAGGTTTTCCTTAAATTTATGTACCTAGGCAGGCTAGAATAGGGTAAAGAAGTCACCCTTTAACAGTGGCGCAAGGCCTTAAGATACCTAGAGGTAGTTGTTAAGTTACTACTATAGTAAGATAAGAGAGGCTTAAAACAGACTACATCAAACAGCTGCAGGGTCTAGGTACTGTAAGGTAGGCTGGCGGAATGGGTATACTCCAACGTCCTTCGTGGGTACCCCCCAAAACTTTGTCAATAATACATGGATTCTAGCGAACTAGGGCTTAAAAGAAAGAGAAAAACTACCTCTACATTTCTGTAGTAGAGGGTTTTGTTATAACTATTAAACTGCACAAGCTAGAGGCTAGAAAAGGTTAAAAAAGGGGGGGTACCTAGCAAGCATACCCATTAATAGGTATACTTTGCTAGGTAGTGTTAATAACTCAGCTAGTACTAGGCGGAATAAGCTAATTCTTTTTTTATTAGAAGGCGCAATACTAGGCGCTTCTATCAAATAATAGATTATGTAAGCGTATCTCTGCTAGTTAAGAAGCTATAAGCCAAAACGTAAAAAAGCATACCCTACCCATCCGCCAGCCTACTGTAAGGGGGTAATACTGCAACTATTATCTACTTCTAATAATAGTATTTAATAAAATTATGTGTCAGGTGACTCCTATAGCTATCTAAAATTAAGAGCTAGTACTGCAGCCTAGCTTTAGGCTTAGTGTAGCAATTAAACACCTATATAAGCCAAGCTAATCTGATATTATTGTTAGTCTATCCTAAGGGCGATAAGTTAACGTAGATAGAGTGCTTTCTGGCTTAAATATCTGCCACCTATTAGCTCTAGATAGTGGAGTTTTTCAACGCAAATATGATGCTTAGGGGAACAGCTGTCCTATTAGCGCAGATTGCTGCTAACAGGCTTACCTACTCACGTGAGCTATCTTAATAAGCCTGCCTAACCTCCTTCTTCTAATATTAACGCCTGCTAAATACCTATTTAGATCTACCTAGCACTCTAATAGCAAAGCCCTTCTTATCTATATTATATGTGTGCTTAGGCTGAAGACTATGCTAAGTAATTTTCTGCTGTAGAAGCTTAAAGTAACATGGTTGGCAAGCGAGTCGGTCAGACAAGCGAGTCGGTCACCCCACCAACTTTGATCACCTACTCTATCTTAACACACAATGCCTCCACGCCGCGCTCCTCTCATGCAGTCAAATGAAGCAGATATTCAGCTTGCTCTCTTATCTATAGATTCTGCCCAAATTCAGAGTACGCGACGCGCTGCTACAGTCTTTAATATCCTAAAATTAACCCTAATTGACTGGCGCGCTGGAAAGCGCGCGCGACGCAATTGCCAGCCTAACTTAAGGAAGCTTACCTAGAGAGAAGAGGAGGTGATTGTCAGCTATATACTTCACCTAGATCAGCGTGGATTTGCGCCTACCTACGCAGCTGCACGTGATATGGCTGATAAGCTGCTAGCTGCACGCGGCGCTGGCCAGGTTGGGCAGAAGTGGCCAGCTAACTTTGTTAAGCGTACAGACAGTCTTCAGACGTGTTTTAACTAAGCGTACAATAGGCAGCAAGCTCTGTGTAAGGATGTAATATTAATAAAGAGGTAGTTTAAGCTTATAGAAGAGACAAAGGCTAAGCAGGGTATCTGCAATAAGGATGTCTATAACTTTAATAAAGCTAGCTTTATAATAGGCAAGATTACAACGTAGCTAGTTATAACAGGAGCAGAGAGGAGAGGCAGGCCAAAGACTCTTCAGCCAGGCAATCGCGAGTGGGTAACGCTAATCGCTGCTATTAGCGCTGCTGGCTGGTTAGTGCCACCATTCCTCATCTTCGCTGGTCAGTACCACCTATCAGCCTAGTATGAGGAGGATATCCCACGCGACTAGGCGATCGCAGTTAGCGACAATAGCTGGACGAATAATGAGCTTAGAGTTGAGTAGCTAAAGCACTTCAACGCTCACACGCAGGCTCGTAGTATAGGCGCGCGTCGCCTGCTTATTATTGATGGCCATAAGAGCCACCAATCTCTAGCGTTCCAGGAGCTCTGCAAGGAGAACAACATCTACACGCTCTGTATGCCACCTTACTCATCTCACCTACTCCAGCCGCTTGATGTTGGCTGCTTCTCGCCATTAAAGCGCGCGTACAGCCGTGAGGTGGAGAGCCTTATGCGCAACCACATCAACCACAT